ATTAAACAAATACTTTTTTTTTATTTAAAAGTCAAGTAAAAACAAAATTGATAAAGTTATTAAGTTCAAGTGATGTCCAACTCACTAATTAAAATAATAATAATTAAACAAGAGACGGTCAAGTTAAAAAATTTTCACATTAAATTCAGTACTGTCAATAGCATCGGTAATAATTTCTTTAACATGAAATTAACAGCAAATTCTCTAGTCTAAATGAATGTTTTTAACTTATTGAAACTTTGATGAGATTGAATGAATGTAATTAGAAATCTCATATTCAGAGGTTAAGAGGGACATGAGAAGAATATATAGACTGCCTATGTTAGCCAATGTGTCATTAAATATAAAGAAAAACTACCAAATTTTCAGAGATTAGATCCACACAATAAATAAAAATTAATTACATTCACAGATAAATGGAGTTTAGGATTTGAGACAAAGTCTGAAAAGTTAATTTTTTTAAAATAAAATATTTCTTAAAATTAATCACTGAAGCCCACCATCTGCAATTGGTTTCGATTGAAAACACTTATTAATATTTTAATTTTTAATTTTTTGTTATTTTAAAAATATATAAAATATTAATTAAAATAAATATTAAATATATTTTATATATTTTATATATTTTTAAAATATTAAAAAATTAAAAAAACCTATAACTTCAATTATAGATAAATATTGTTGAACTAAGCGTAAAGGTCTTTTTATGTTTATCAACGCGACTGAAGTAAACGTGATGGCATAATGCGTGAGAATATCCCAAGTAAATAAATGAATTTTCGTCCTCTTTCATTCAAAATAAATTAAGAGTTCCACAAGACGTTCTAACTTGGTTGCTCGGATTTTTCTCCCATGCCTTGGTTTTTCTCAGAAAAAAAAAATAAAAAAAATAAGGTTCACGTGTTGTTTTACTCTTTACATTATGATTATTTCAATATTTGATCGGTTAATCTCATACTTATGGATTAATTCAAATATAAGTATCAACATGATGTATTGAAATTATTTACATTGAAATAAAATGAAAAAAATTTAAGCTTATCCTTTTAATGATAATAATATAATTATAATATTATATAAAATCATAATTTTAAAAGCAATTGTAAAGTTATTGAAAAAACGTATAAAATAATTAACTAAATTATTAATATAAGGTATTTTTTTCACTCGTATTAACAAATTTGGATCTTAATTACCCTTTTTTACCACCTTTCTCTATAAAGCTTTTAATCAATTAGTCAATCTTGTAAAAAAAATAATATAATTTTTATTACAACTCATGTGAAAACTAATCATTTATCCATAAAATAATATCTTTTTTAGCTATAAAATTTTAGTAATAAATAAAATTAATTATTTTGACTCTTTTATTTAAAAAAAAATGGGGTCAATAGGCCTACTGTTTTAAGTTAAAGAAAATCACTTATAAGTCATTACTCACTCATGTCATGGATTCACTAATTAAATAACTAATTTACAAATTAAATTTTTAAATAAAATTTAAAATATTAAAATATTTTAATAATTAAAGTATTAAAAAATTATAATAAATTAATTTATAAAAAATTTACTTAAATAATTTAAATAATTTTACAATTTTCTTGATATTTAAAATATCATTACATTTTAAATTTTTATTTTTCTCGCAAACAATTTCCATTTATTTTTTTCTTGACATTTTATTTTCAACGTGAGTACATTCCAGAACCATCCTCTCACCACATGCCACACAAATAACAACTCCTGGCTCCACGCACTGGACCCCACTTAACCACTAAAAGTCTTTGTATTCTTTGGATAAAAAAAAAAAATTCTAACTGAGATAAATTTTTATTTTTTATATTATTATAAAAATTACTAAATCTGTCACCTGCTGCAATTTCAGATTCCTGTACTTTCTAGCTGTTTCTAAATTTTCTTACGCAAGCCCAGAAGCCAACACAGATTTAGACGACCACCCAACTTTGGCCCCCGTTTTACAAAATGACCAAAACAGCCCTACCCCTAATTTCACTTAACTTCACCTGCATGGCACCATTAATTATAAAAAAAATATATATACTATACAATTTAAACCATTAAAATTATATGGATACAACACCTTCAAACGTTATAATTTTATAAAATAATGTTATTAGATAATTAATTTATTTTATTTATTTTTTTATATTAACTTCTCAATATTCAATAATCATATTAAATTTAGATTAATTCAAAATTAAACTGTGTCGGATTTTACTAAAGAAAAACTTTGTCAACGTTTATTTTTTCATTTACAAAACTCGAATTCAAAATTTTATTTAAGAAAAATCGAATTCCTCCTACTCAGATCAACATGTAGTTGATAATTTATTTTATTTATGAGTATCTCTATATGTATTTATTTTTTAAAAATACATCATATTTATATAATATTACATTATAATTACAAATTTATAA